CATAAATGAGTGTGGTCTACAAGTGAGACTCCCTTTTTGATGGAACAGAAACATGCCAGAAGCCTTCATTTCAATCCTTTAGGCCCCTAAACCCTACCCCTAAACCCTAAACCCTAAACACTATAAACCCTAAATCTACGAACAACTATTTTATGATAGGGTATATTTTGGGGTTATAGTCCCCCGTAAGTAGATATAGAGGTTATATTGGGGATATATTGGGATAATGGAACAGCAAATGGAAACTGCCGTAAGTCCAATTCTCCTTGCAGAAAATGCTGAATATCCAGAGAACTGAACTGTTCTTATGTAACAGCTCTTGGTCGTTACAAGTCTTATAACCCAGATCATGGTGTGTGCAGGGTTTTCTTGTGCCTGCAGCCCAAGCCACCGCTACTGGGAACAGATAATTTCTCTCGGTTTGATTGTTTGATGATTCTGCGATTCATCCAGTTGGGTGGAAGGTATGCGTAGGCCGCTGTAGCGTTCATGGTTTTGCTGCTGCCTACATTTCGCAAGTCTGGTTCTGGGAGGGTTTCTTGGACTGTTCTTGACGCACTTGGCAACCAGCAAACTCTTGACCTCTGCCCATTTCCAGGACTGAGGATGACGTCCGAGGTGCCTCTGTGACCTAATTATGGGTGTCTTTATGAGAGTCTTTCTACTCAAGCTTAGGCTTAGACCCTCCTCTTGTTGAAGCGGCTTTACCGACCCGGAAAAGGACCCAGAATCCTCGTTCTTAGAGGGAGTCCTGTCTCGTGCAGCCTCGGTGCATGTAGACCATGTGGCAAAGAGAAAGATGGCAAGCCTTTTCCCTTAACTCCCCAACGCGGAGACAATGATTTCTATACATGTTCTCGCTATTCTGCGACGTTTCCTGGCCAATGCTCGTGTCTGTGGGAGTGGGGCTTCATAGTTAGGGAAAAGAAGGCAGTGGCCACAGTTTTGCAGTCCTCCCACAGAACATGGGGAATCTAGGGAACGGATGTTGTAGGGTTGTCCTTCAATCTACCTAACTTTGCAGATCACAGTGGCTGCGTGCCAATTTGTGGTCATGTCATCACCTTTGCTGGGGTACTGCACTTGTTTTGAAGTTTCTGAAGGCGATGGAAAATCGCAACCAGCGCGTAAAGTTATGACATGATTGAGTTGAAGGCCATTCCTGAGGCCCTTCGAGACTGTACTTCTGTACCTGACTTCAGACAGCGCTTTCTGCATTCTGCGTCTGCGCCCAATGCCATATATACCCCAAAACAAGCCACCCGTCCCAAACCCTGGAGACCATCAACAATCCTGATTGTTTTACGCAGCATTCCGCGGCTTCAACTGCGAGCCCCCAGCAATCGACAAAGAATGCTCTGACGCTTGGCATGGTAGAGGTCTTTTGTACCCCATGAGCCATAATCTCAACTCCTTAAAAAGGGTCATGTTATAAAGGGGATTCTACAGGGGAACACTATAGGGGCTATTAAGTGGGACACTAGGAGTTTAGACTATGGCTCCCGTTGCTAAAGATTGGGCGTTTACATTTCGGGTTTGGGGCCTCCCCCCTTGCGTACACAGGAATGTTGCCCATGTGGAGGGTTGTCAAAGTGCATATAAGGTTGTTGATGGCAGTTTCACGGCTCAGGCGATCTCATGGGATGTCCATATGCTGGGACTAGATTATGCTCATGCTGTTTCTCTGGCCCAAGCGGGGCCGTCACTATCCACTAAAATGCAGAGTTGCAATTATCATCCGGGCCCCGGCAAGCCTGATGGAGCTCTGTGACCCTCAAAGTTGTGAGATTGAAGCACAAAAAGGCTTGTAGTTTCCGGGCATCCCTGTAGTGAGGAACTGCCTTTTTTTTGCAGTCAGGGTACCAGAAATGTGCATGGTGGTTCATCTCATCTGAACTGTGGGAAGAACTAAGGAAGCGTGGTTTTACATCTGGAGAGGTGATGCGCCGCTGGGCTTGCGCAAGCAGGAAATGGAGCGGGGGCGGCATTTAAGGGATCCTTGCCTTCGGGCTACACCTGTCGGGCGCCCTAATTCTCTAAGAGCAAGCATCAGATAACTGCTTACTTTGTTCCTTTGTGTCCGCATTCAGTCGGTGACTGCTGAGACTACCTAGCGACTTGTGTTCCTAGGCAAGCTAGCATTCATAAAGCCATCCGCATATACGATCGGCATGACCGCCGACAGCAGCGACAGCAATCATAAACATAGTGAGGATACCACAGTTTTCTTCATGGTGCATCTCAAACAAGCAGAAGTACCAGCTTTCACAAATCCAACTTGCAAGCAGATCTTGAGGATCAGAAAAGCTGTCATACATGGAAGCGTTCGAAACACTTAACTCTCCCTAAAGCCCCTCCCCATTTCTGCGCCCCCACTCCCCAAAATCACTTTAAACCCTAAACCGTAAAGCGAAGCTCAGGTAAGCACCACGAGGGCATGCACCAATTTCGCGCCAGCGAAGTCATCGACGTCTTCGACAGAGAGGAGCTCGAGAAGCTGTCCGTGGAGGCCCCACCGCCAACCAACGCATAGTGTGTACAAGGGGGTTATTCTAGGATAGGACATTTATTGAGATGGAACTGAAAGGGTTTAGAGGGGTCCTAGGATGCCTGCGGCATTCATTGGGTTTCGCGCAGTTTGCAGCACCATACTCCTATGGTTGCACCTAGACTCGTTGCCGTGCTATGATTGTACCCCCAAAGGCCTGTTGTTTTGAGAACGGCCCATCTACTCGCATTGAGTGGGGATTTCCCTACAGCTGTATAGTACAGGTGCCAAGCATGACCCTTGACCTTGTGCTGCTTTCTCGCATTTTGGGAGCAATGGTTCAAGAAAATTCCCGCGTGGGCAAGTAGTTTTGGACTTCTCCAGACAACCCATAATGTCTCATGCTCAAGAAGGACCGCTGTAGTCTCCTCAGAATGGGATGCCCGAGCGTACCTGTTTTTTCTGAGAAAGGTAGGCCGACTTATAGCGCATGTATTGACATGGATTGCATCGGACTTGTGCCGGAACACTACCTGTCAAAATTTCGGAGCCTTACCCCGCAACGCAAGGATGAAGACCCAATTGAAGCGGCCGCTCGGTATGCTTAGGGTTTCAGGTTTGAGGTTTCACGCAGGTTCAAGGGTCGGGGGGTGTGAACAATGCTACATGTGTGGTGATCTACATCAGGTATCGTTTCATTCAGTTGTTTGCCCGTCCATAAGTTTCCCACACCTAGATTAAGAGGGACCACAAAAGCAAAGCAGTGAGTATCAAGAACAGTGTCACAAAGACAGAATTGACACTTTGCCATTTCGAGAGTGCATCTGAATGTAGCAGCCACTGTCCAAAGCTAAACCTAAGCATCTTGAAGCGATAAACCTAACTTTAATCCTCTCAGCTATGCCCTAGAAGCTTGGAATCCCAAGCCGAGAGCATAACTGAAATTGGTTTCTCCAGCTAAAGACTTGGACCCTCAACCCTCAAGCCTCAGCACCAAGCTTTCACATTTGTGGTTGTCAAATTTTGTGGTCCTCTTCTGGGTCTGCTAATTAGTAGGGGCCGTGTTATACTGGGGACCTCGGCAGAAACCACATTTTTTTATACAATTTTGACAAAGCACCACGCGGGGGAGCCTAAGCTCGGGCCAATGCCTTCAAGGAGCTCAACAAGCTTCGGCATGCAGAGGACCAGCGGCGCAAATTCAACAAGCGCACCTTGCCAAAGACTTTACACACGATTCAGATGGGTTATACTCTAAACTCCTTAGAGGGGTTATATTGGGGAGTATATAGGGAGGTATTCTAGGGCTATTAAGGTAGGGATACTAGGAGTCTAGACTATAGCTGGCATGAGTTGAGAAGCCTTGTCAAGCCATTTATTGTACGGGCACCGCCAAGCAGCATTCCAATCCTTAGGTTGCTGAAGATTTGTTCACGTTTTGCCAAGGGCTTGCATGGGGGCTCCTGAAAGGGGTGCCTTCAATAGTAAATCTCCCATGTATTAGCACAGGAAACCTTGCCAGAACATTGGGATGTTTCAATATTTAGGTTTGGTCTTCTTTGCTTGCTGTACATCCCCAAAATGGCAGAAATTACTGACTTGTAAAGAAGCCCAGCGACATTCTTTGTCCTGAATCTGTGAGGTGCCAGCACCACAGCCATGACGACCAATTTCGAATGGCTGGAAACCCACTCTGAATTATGTTGAGGTTTGCGGACTGTTTTGGAAGTTTGGGTTGGGCTTCTCAAGCTCTTCTCTCATTTGGGTCTGGAGTATCGGGAGAAAAAAATGCTGAGACAACAAGGGGCGTTCAGAGGTTGTCTTGGGCCAGCTGGCCACACCTCGTGCGAGTCCTGCAATCAAACCAGTCATAAGATTATAGCTTGGTTTGGAGTAGTGTTTCAAGTCACTATTAGTCATCCAGGTTCTCGTTGGTATTCCAAGTTTTTTTATATCTAGGAGGCTCGGCATCGAAGATCCAACGCTCCATTTTCGTGCATTGCACGTGCCACAGTTTTTCGAATTGCTGGTATTGCGGCCAGTACTTCAATGCGAGGAGACGGACAGCAACTATCAGCGACAGCTGGCGGCTATGACCCGCTTCCAGCGCATGCAGGCCCGCAGCCAGAACCATAGCGCAACAACTGAAAGATGTGGATGATTGGTTGTAGCCAGAGGAACGTCACTTTTGGCTACAAAAGCGGTAGCGTGGTCCTAGTATTGATGGCACGAGAGCTTACAACAGGAAGTTAAATGACAACGACAAAGGACGCAGTGGGACTTTTCAAGGCTCCTGACAGGCTTAGGTGGGTTGCCGAAGGCTTGGCTCCAAACCCTGTCCTCAAGGTTGCCTTCTTGATGAGCAATGACCCAGTTCCGTTACAATCCTTTCTCCTCGTTACGGTTATGAGAATTGTAATCCTGAAGGGAGGGGAGTAGGCCTTGAAGGCATGCAGTAGGTGACCAGCCAAGTCCTGAATGAAGCAATGACACAGCCCAACTAATCTGACAGGAATGGCTGCAATCTAGCAGATTCGAGATGCTGATGGCCACAGTGCTCTGTCTAAATGTGTGCCCTGGACTGCAGTTGAGTTTTTGCCAGGGGACGAGGTCGCTCCGTGTCGTCAATTTTGTTCTTTTTCGGGCTGCGGCGCAAAGAAACTCTAAACGTCATTCATGCGATCGGGGCAGCTACCCCTGCAAGGGAGCGGGTAGACTTGGGAAAGTCGCGCTGTCGCCAGCTTGACCTCCATTGCGGGTATTCTGCATACTTCATGCTGATATTACAGGCTACCACTTCGCAATGTATTAAGCACCCAGAACGGGAACTACAGCAGTGCGGGAGATAGTGTAGATGATGTGCCCTTGCAATGCTGCCGTCTGTGCGTTGTTGGAACAGCCGCGTCGCAGCAACTGTGGTCTCTTGATCAGGGGTGGTACTTCAACTCAGCACTACGTTCCATTGTGCAGCCCCATGAAGGCCAAAGCATTGGTCTGCAACTTGTGCACAGCTATCCATGTGATCACAATTCCTTCTCTTGGCTGTGCCGAGGCTGTGGATGGCAATGGAGCTGCAAGTGGATGGCTCCATAGCAGGCCTGCCCACTTGCATGGGCCAAAGATGTGGGATATGCTATAAAGGCCATGTGAAAATGTCCGTGCTCCAGCAACCAAGGCCTCCCGGGCCCAAGATTTTGTCCCGTCAACGTGATGTGTTTGTCATGAGAAGATGCAGGTTGGCACTGCATCCATTCAACCATGGCCCTAGCCTTGTTGAGAGCACTTTTGCTTCGCAAGCCGTCGAGTCCAACAGGTATTGGCTTGGGAGTCGTGTCGCAGTCGGCTCTACCAGCTGACTGGATAGCCGCGTACGAGCGCTTCTTTCTGACCCTCGGCGGGGCAGTGCCTGGTTGATTTTGACAACCGCACGTTCCCGTAATTTTGGGGTCCTTCTCGTAAGGGTGCTTGAGGTGGAGAAAGTGAGGAACAGCCAGTTTCTTCGTTTCATGCTTCTCAGAGCTAGGCATGTATGTGTCGAACTCAGGGTGTCCATGTACTGTCCAGATCACTCCTCAATGCGAGGAACAGCGCTTTGAGGCAACTGCTTTCTGGCCGGTACATCTTAGTCATGCAATGTCAAGGACCCTCAACAAACCAGGTGCTCAAAACTGGCAGCCGAAATAGGGGGACCCCAATATGGACCCCCAAATACTATCATCACATTATAGTCCTTATCATGGGGACCCCGAAAGTGTACCCCTAATTTGGGGAAATCCCTACATTAGGCAAATTGCGATGTATCCAGGTCAGTCGCCCGGGTAGTAGCACAAGCTGAAGTTGGATCTCTCAAAATTAGCAAAATTGTGGTCCCTTCCTTATAGGTACCCTACATATTAAAACAGGTGCCTCGTTATACAGGGACACCCAAAAAGGGAACAGGATTTTGATGCCCTACCAGCAAACAAACATGACAAAGGATTGGAGACGTGGCGTTCACTGTTGTGTTCACGGTTGACGTTGTGGTCGCCTGTCCTTCATAGAAAGCAGGGTTTCGCTACTGCGAGGATTCAGACGGCTGATGAGGGGAAGTTGCTCTACGCTTGGGAACTCGGGGAATTTCACAGATGGCAGCGCGCATAAGAGTGCCTATGCCTCACATCTTGGAATTGATGGAAGCAGACCGACAATGACAGAGGGAGTTCGAGGGGTTATATGGCATTAGAGCGACGAGTCTCACAGCTTATCAGACTGACAGCCAGTCCGCAACGCTATTACACCCCAGGTCTGCTGACGTGTGCTGAATCGTAGCTTGCAGAGCTTGCCAGTCGGGGATTTCCCCAGGGTTCAGCGGCTCCTCCTGTCCAGGTTCTGCGCAGTCACCTCAACCAACAAACAACGCATCTGTTACCGAGACAAGACTGGGATTAGATAGGACTGCTTTCGGCGATGCAAAGGGGCCTGCTCTGTCAACTGCTGTAGGGCAGAATCCCCGCAAAACTATTTAACAAAGCCTGCATGAGCCCATGGCACTTTGCCATACGCCCAATGCCCCTAAGCAGTTCTTTCAAATTAAAAAACATCCCAAAGAGTTCTTGACTTCATCCCAGCGAGTTCATAACTTCAAGTCCGAAGCAGGTTCGAATCTGCATCCTGGGCTTTAAATTCTGGAAGGCCGGATTGGGTTCTAGAAACTCTTGGAGTTTTCCAAAATTATCCCTGTTCAATGCAGAATAGAGACCACATAGTCCCTTTGTAACCCCCATGTTTTCCTAGGGCCCCTAAGGGCAGCCCAGTTTGGGAAACTCCGATATGCAAGTCGCGGGAGTAAGTATCTCCTGATTAGCCCGTCATTGCTGCGAGGATCTGAACAAAGCAGCATGTGTAGAATATTGCAGATCGATAGTTCGGTGGCTAGAATTGCGCGTTTCGTCCTGGTAGACCTTAGCAGAACTTACTGACCTGCAAATAGCTTTTTGCGCTGCCAGATCCTTGTGCTTCTGCAAGCCACATGTTATGTGCCCAAGGTGTGGATGAACTACATCGACATTGGCGTTTCTGTGGCATCTCTTATTGAGGCGTTGGACTTTCAGAAAGCCTTTCAAATCATGCGCTCCCCACTTGGCGAAAGCCACCTGGCACTTGGAATAGGGCGAGCCCTACATCAGAAAAAGATGATGAGAGCTGCACCCGGCAGACTGAAGCACTCCCAGATTCAGAGCCTCAAGATCCCATGGCTTGGAGCCAGCAGGAAGCGTCGTACCAGGGATGCCCACTGTCTGTTAACCAGCCGGAGTGGAAATGCTAGTGCTCATGCAGAGGTTGATGCCCCTCCTCCGCCTCCTACTTATTCAGCATCTACTGATGCTTCTGCCGTCATAGAAGAATCAGCAGCTTTCCTACCATGAGTCATAGTGAGAAAGTCAGCAGCTGGATATGCCCCAGCAGGTCACCTTCTACTACGTGAAGCTGCCGGTTAATCCGGTGCTCTTCCGCCTACTCCGCATTGGGATGCTTGGGCCAACATGCAACATCTACGGCCCCCTGTGCACTAGTAACAGTTTGGGGAAAGCAAACATCCGAACACCCTTCATGTAGATGCAGGGCAAATGAACAAGAGGAGGTTTAATGGCATCCATCTTCGTAAAAGGTGCGGATACCGGTCTTGTCTTAGGCTTAGGGTCCTTGGAGAGAGCATACCACCATGCCTTGAGGGATCAGGCCACGCGGTTACCCACCACTGGCGATGTGGAGACCAGTTTTCTCTGGTAGTGGGTTGTTACCGTTCCTTGCATACCTGCACGGAGTTTTTCTGCGTAAACGCCTTTGCTGGAAGTTGAGCGTTGCAGATAGCAGGTTCTGGCATTCTTTGAATTTTGTGAAAGTGGTCCCGTCGGCATCCTGAATGAAGCTGGATGGTTTCAACAGTGTAGGCAAGCATAGGGTACTTTGATAGAAGCATCAGAGGAGGAAATGTTGGAGCCACGCGAGCGCACACGTCTTCAGAAGCCTGCGGAAATCCATGCTGCAAGACAGCGGCATGTCTTCTAGACATTAATGTGAATGTGTCCACGCATGTCCCGGTTGTTCCTCCACCATCAGGAGGAACTTTCCAAGTCCATCGGAAGGCAGTATAGAGAAGTGTCGGACTAGATCTCGTTGAAGCGCACGTGTAGTGCGTGTGCAACTAGAGTATACTGACCGCAAGTTCACCTCGCACTTCCGCCTTGGTCGTGTAGGCCCCTGTATTACGCACCTTTCTTACGGTTCGCCTTGCACCCAGGAAGCTTGCAAGAGCTATACGGATGATCCACATGACCAACGCGGCTTGATGCAAGTGGGCGACTTCGAAGACTGTAAAGCTAAAGTCATGGATAGCACGAACCCGCTTTCGAATTTATTACCGCCCAAGAGTTGGGCCACTCAGTGCCTAAGAGCGAAAGATACACGATTTAGAGGCGTCGTCTGATAATCCAAAAGTCCTGGGTCCTGTGCTACTGAAATTGTAAGAGATGGCCAAGCTGGACAAGCAAGCTGCTCACTCAGAGATCAGCACACGTGGACAGGGATCAACAACCTCAACCGTTTTTGTACATTATCTGAGGCGTGAATCGGCCCTTGGGTTGGCTTTCGACGTGTAGTCATTGATTCTAGCTTGTACTTCTTAGGGGAAAATAGGGGGTGTCATAGGGATCATGGAAAACAAAATGGAAACTACTGTCTAGGGATCCTCATCGCCAGGTTCTTGCCTCCCTCCAGCTTTTGATCAAATGCCTCGCAGCTAGCCGGGCGTCTTGGCGGCTGAACTCGGGATGCTGGGAAGGTTTAGGGTTTAGGGCGGAACTTTGGGTTTGGGGTTGTTGCCAGGTTGTTGTGTGAGCGTCCAGGCTCCAGGGAAATAGGCTCATGGTGAAAGGCTTCTAGGCGTGGGGCCTCATTGGCTGAGGGTTAATTATGCTGGAATGGACTGGATTATCAGCTTTAGCTTCTTAATGCTCTGGAAGGATTGAAAGGATGAAGCCCAGAACGGCTCTTTGATCTATTGTTAAAGCCATTTGTGAAAAAAGGACTCGTGACAGGAATGCATGTACAACCCACCCCATGTCCATGGCATTTCGTTAGCAACATCGGGATTCCAAGCATTCATTGCGAGTCTTGAGTTTTGCATCCGTGCCTGCCTTCTTGGCTCCTGTGAGGCCTCGTGGGGAAACCGCAGTGTGTCCTTCATCAGTGAAAGACACTCAGCCCTCCATCACATGCTTTTGTCAACAGCTACCTGTACTTCTCTCTGGTAGTCCTGGCAAAGCTGTGCAATCCTCCCCTTTCTGGCTAAAGCACTTGAATGTCGTGTGATGTGCAGAGCCATTATTAGAAGCCGCATTGTCAGTGGCATCATGTCGGCGACAGCGGGATCACATATGATTTTAAGACAATCCTGCTAATGAGTCCTTGTCATCCCCGCAGTAGCTCCCACAATCCCTATTGGGATCCCTTGAACAATCCCTGCACTAGCCCGGATCCGTGTTTGTTTTGCACCAAGGCCTGCCCCCTTTCGGAATAACTAGGCAGTCCTCGAAGGAATCCTTCTATTGCTAGCCCAGGCGATGCTCTTCTGGAGTTTCTGCCTGTTGGCCTTTTTTCAATGCGTGGCGGGGATGATTGCGCCTTTGCTACGCAATGGGGTTTAATTCGGGTCACTAGTATGGGGTGGAGGATGGTGGGAGGCCTCCCAACTGGAGGGCTCCTTTAGGTCTCCTTGAGCACTTGTGGAGATAATGCCCAACAGGTAGTTGAGGCGTTGGGTGTCATGCCTGCCTTGATAGCACGGGAGCCAGGTAAGTACTCTCTGCCGCGACTTCGTGCGTGATGAAGCGCAACAATCTTGGGCAGCTTGTCCTAAACCCATTATAGTAGTTTCATTTGTATTTTCCATCACAATAATTTCGATTGTATTTTCCATTGTAGTGGTAGTTTCCATTCTATTTTCCATTATAGCAGTTTCCTTTGTATTTTCTATCATCGTAGTTTCCATTGTATTTTCCATTCTAGTAGTTTCCATTTTAGTTACCATTATCCGCATATAACCCCTGTAATGGGATCCCTATATGGTAGTTTCCCTAAATAAGGGAACCCCAGTATAAACCCCAAAATACTATAATCCTTATTATGGGAGCCCCCAAAAGGGTACCCCCAATTTTGGGAAACCCCCATATAAACCCAGCACGGCCATGATGCTCTCATGCGCAGCAATCCGGTGCACTGGCTCTCCCCGGGCTCTCCGGAGTCCGAATTTACTTTAGGGTTTAGGATTAATTTTGGGAGTTTCCCAAAATTATGGGTGCCATTTTGGGGGTCCCTATAATAAGGACTATAGTCTTTGGGGTCTATA